TGTGTCCTTTAATTAATATATTGGTTTTTTCATTAATGTATTCTGCTTTTTGCCTAGAATGATACTCTATGAGAAGAGTGACATTCTGGAAGATTATAGTGTGGGCAAGGGGGATACTGCACATGGAAGAGATGTTGCTTTTTTTTGGGGGGGGGGGATAGTTTTAAGGTACTTAAGTAGGAGACCCACACTGACCTTCAAAATTGGCAGAATTCAAGAAATTCAGTTCTACTGGTAATGCATCTGCTCATAGGAACAAAGTAAAACCCTAAGAAAAGTAAAAAAAAAAAATTTGAACTAGAATCCATAACGAAAACTATTTTCAAAAATCTTAGAAGAATTAAGTAAATTTGTATAATATTTTAGTGTGTAATAAGTAACTGTAAATTTATAAAGAGCAGTACAATTTTTTAAAATTCATGATTGTACTAAAAATTAAACAGATATGTAATAAAATAGGGTTTGAAAAATCCCATCTCACCTAGGTTTTACATCGAAAACCTGAGATTTATTGGGTTTTTGGTGAAAACCTCAAGTTTTTTCAAAAATATTTTAAATTATTATTCCTGAGTAATAAATAAGAATGCGGTATTTGCTCCTAACAAGAAAGTTAAATATTTGGTAACTATTTATAACTTGTTTTGCTGCAATGTAAGTTTTAGATCGTTACGCTATTGTTTTTATTTCTTAAGGATAAGCAGATTATTACATAAAAATTTAAATCTACTCAGTTAAAAGATTCCAAACTTTTTGTTATTAATGTCTCTTAGAATAAAATTCAAACTTAGATTTTAATAATCATTTTTCTCACTTAACATTGCAACATAATATACTGTTGTTGTTTTTTTAAATTTCTATACAACTTTTGGTTGCTTTAAAATTCGTATATGTTTTTAGTAATATTATGTCAAGTTAATTCCTAATATCAGTTTTGGCTGGAAATAATTGTAAAGCTCGTCCTAAAAGTAAATATAACACATTTGCTGCCGTAATAATTTCAAAATGGTTAAGTTACATGCCGTTTTCAATTAGTTTTTCATAAAATTTTTCAACAGATTTTTTCAAAACTATTAATTCAGATAAAAATAAAATATCAAATCATAATAATAGTAGAGGACGATAAAGAAATATTACAAGTAAATATCTATAAATGATGAAAAAATAAATATTTTATCAATATTTGTTAATAAAGTAACATTACCAATTTTCTGGCCATGAAATGTGTTGATACCTTTGAAATATCATTTTGGACCCTTTTACTTATGTTTCACCGGAAACTAATAAAAAAGAATATTGGTTTGAAAATTATAAATCTTAAACACATTTGTATTTTTTTTCTATAAAAATTTTTATAAAAATATTTGTTGCAATGATTGAGAAAAAATATATGTTAAGTTAACCTAATGAGATAAAAAAAAGTGGAATGATTTAAGGTGCTTAGATATTAGTATGACCCGTTTTTCCTTGAAATAGGACTTAATTTAACATGGCATAGTTAAGAAAACTACTGTCATGCATAGCTCTAATTCAACTTCTTAGTATTAATTTTTTTAATATCTACGCTTATAAATGAAACATTTTGTTAATAGAAAGAAGAAAAAAAAATTTTTTTGGCTTAACTGAATATTTACCAAGATTAGCCCACAGCTGAATATGTGATGCATGTCTAGTAGCGAAATGTAAAAACTTGTCAATATTCTTTCTTTAATAATCTTTTCAATATTTTTCTCAAATTTCTTTACTCTTACTCTTTTTTTTTTTTTTTTTTTTTACTAGATGAAAAAAAATTGCACATTTTAATTTCTGCACCTAATTTTACAATGAAATGAAATGATTAAAAAGGAAATACAGATGAGTTTCATAGATGTCGTTAATCCTTAACAATCTGAAAATGTTTTTTTAAAAAAAAAACCAACTCGGGTTTGCAAAAATTGTCTAGTCCTACTTTGGCGAGTCCTGTTAATTAAAACAATTTTATTAGTACTTATATTGTATTAAAATTGTTTTTTATTGATTGATTTTTTTTAAGAAAGTTAAATAATTAGCACTGTCACTAGTGGTGTATATTTATTCGATGATAAACAATCATACTGTTTTTAAGGTCCTTAATTTTTCAAAAAAAGTGTTTAATTTTTGCTTTGCTAAAATAGTGGGAGCCCTGCCTTTCCGTCAGGCTAACCATGAGAGGTTTTCCTCTCCATGTAACGCAAATGTGGGTCAGTTCAATCAAAAAGTCTTCCATGAAGGCAAAATTTCCCCCAATACTTGATCCAGAAGTTCCCTTGTCTTCTGGATAGGGTTTACTTTTACAGGGCTACGGAGTTGAACATTGGTAGTTGTAAACCCAAAAATTGAGTCATCTGTTCAACCATGGTTATAAAATATAATTGAAGGGGACTTATCAGTTTTTACATTTTTGCAAATTTATAACTTTATGGGTGTTTAGATAGTCATCAGTTGGTATTTATCTACACAAAGCTCGAAATGCGTATTTATGAAAATGGATATAGCATTTAATTGTTTTTTTTTTTTCTTTTATGGTTGTTTTTTTTTAAGAATAAATTAATGAATCCAAATAAATTGGTTATGTTATATTCATTTGCATAAATCGCTTAGTCTTTCTTTTGAAAAAAAAAATTACCAACTATAAAAAATTCATTGTTATTTTTACGATGTTGCCGTGCTAGCTATAAATTTACATTAGGGATAGAAAATTTACATTGTAGTAATCGGAAATTTTAAAACTCACTTTTTCATTAAAGGTTCATAATATGAATACAACACCTAAAAAGCTACATCTGTAACATACCTAGCTAACCAGACTCCGAAATCTAGGAAAGTAAACATGTAATTGATTTCTTATTTAATTGTAAAATTTGGGTTGAAGACTGGAAAAACGTATTATCTGCTGTCCATTTCTGTGAATACACATTTTGAGCTGTACCCATTTTCGTCAACACCCATTCCAAACTGTCCAGGTTTAAAAATCCAGACGTAATGTGATTACTCGTACTTTTCTATAAAGTTGAGGATTCATCAATAAATTACTAACAAAATTAGTGCTTGAATGCCCTATGCCAGGAAATATGAAAAAAAATTCATTAGATACACAAGATACGAGCATTTAAGGTAGTCCTTTTATTCTGCGCTTACGCGGAAATGATTTGAAAACTTAATTTTTTGATTAATCATATTTGGTAACTTATGAAAAAAAGTTCAATATAAATATATTGAAAATTTAAAAAGTTTCTAGCCATTTTTTTTAAAAAAAAATTCTTTTTAAGGAAAGCTATGAATGATGAGAGATTTTCCACAAAATTCAATAACAAATGATAGTATCCTATAACTTCGTAAAAAAAAAATTGCAAAAAACTAAATTTTGAAGATATTCAAATTGCTATTTTATTTAGTTATAAAATAAGTTTTACAACAATGTTCAATAAATTTTTTTATATGTCTCCCACACATGAGCAGTTTGAATATACACTGACATGAAATACTGCAGTTTTGAACGATTTTTAAAATTTATAAGTTTATTATCGCTTGGAAAATTTTGTTGAAAACATTTTCAGCTGTAGTTTTAAAAAAAAATCACGAATAAAAAGTCTTTTTTTTTTGCTGTATAACTCCATGAATATTTCAACTAGGTTTATAAGACTTTATGCATTTATTTCATAGAATAAACATTAAAGTATATATTGCAATATTTCCTTGCTTAGGGTGCTTGGACCCCTTATTGTCAATTTTACTTCTTGCCATATTTCAGAACTTACTAAGCGAATTGAAAATTTTTGCGCTTAATAAAATTCGTTTATCCAAAGATATTTCACGCCAAAAAACTTAATTAATATTTATTATTTTTTATCATTTTATTTAAAAATAGTAAAAAAAAAATTTGAATTGTAAGGTATACAAATTTTTAAATACATTTTAAAGAACGTAATTTTACATGGCAAAATACAAAATTTGAGCAAAATCGGTCGAATAGTTCCTGAGAAATCGAATTTTAAATACCTTTTTTAAAACTAGATTTCACCGGAACTATTGGACCGATTTCGTCCAAGTTTGTATTTTGTCATACAAGATTACATTCTTTAAAATAATGTAAAAATTTGTGTATTTCTAAATTTGAATTTTTTCTGACTATTAATAAATAAAATAATATTCGCTAAAAGTTATTTTTTGAATGGAATTATCTTTAGAGACAAAATCTTACATTTGTGTGCAAAATTATAAATTTGCTTTAGCAGTTCTCGAGTTATGGCGAAATACGCAAAAAGTGAATTTAGCGTTAAGGAGTCCAAATTTTGGACCGCCCTCCTGCTGCTTCTCCTAAACTATTAGGACCACATTTCCCGGATTGCGGCTACCCCATATTTTGGAGGCCAAAAATCCGAATCCTTTAAAAAAAAGTTATGTTTATTTAGAGAAAGTACGCATGTGTGTCTGATTTCGTAACTAACTATATCGTCGGCACTAATTACCATATGAGGTTACCCCTTCAAATCTGTAAGATTGAGTCCTAAAAGTGAAGATTCGATCAAAAGTTATTCATGGTGGTCAGTTTTTTTTTTTGTGCTCTGTATGTCGGTTATTCTTCAGAATCCATCGACCATAATTAGTATGCATTCAATTAGTAAATTATTAAAATTAAAAGGATGAACTTTTTCTTTAATTGCTTTGAACATTGAATTATGAAATGAGCTATGTTAATAAGATTAACATCTCATAAAATCTGAATGTGAACAAATAAATAAGAATTTCATCTCTAAAATCTGAATATGAATAAATACTAGAATTTAGTCAGGACAAATTTTAATAAAAATGAGTAAAGATTGAATTATTGAACACCAAAATTTAATAAAACTCTACAACCAAATTAATATTTTCACATACCTTAATTACATAATAAAAGGCTTATGCAATAATTTTCAAAATCATTGAAAGCAAGCTCAAGTAAAATTTTAAAAGCGAAATAAAATGAGCTGTATGCTAAACATTTAATATATCATTAAAAGTTCTTTAATTGCTTCGATGTCATCCCTCTGTTTCAGTTTGTCAATTATGTTTTGTACAATACTGTCATCACTGTAACGGTTTAATCTCATTATAAAGACCTTGACAATAGATACATCATCCACTAAAAACCAATGTATAAAGCGTTCGATTGTTCTTTGTTTACCCCCAGTCTCTGCAAATTTTGGATCAGTCTTTTCCCTAGACAAAAGGTCAGTAAGTAGATCTCCTGTTTCCGTGTCACTACAAATTTGTTCGGTTTTCACCGTTCTCAAGTCTATTTGATCCAAGTTAAGCCATGATAAGAACCTATCAGCTACATTCCAGTTGTTAGACTCTATGCATTTACATATAATTTCCCTTCGCGATTTTTTGAGAAATGCTCGTTTGAATTTCATTTCTTCTTCAGGGTCTATAGCAACGTTTTCTCCTTCCGGCTCTGGAGCTCTGTTCTTTNCAATGTCTTTTGTTCCTTCGGGATCTGTGGCAATGTCTTTTGTTCCTTCGGGATCTGTGGCAATGTCTTTTGTTCCTTCGGGATCTGTGGCAATGTCTTTTGTTCCTTCGGGATCTGTGGCAATGTCTTTTGTTCCTTCGGGATCTGTGGCAATGTCTTTTGTTCCTTCGGGATCTGTGGCAATGTCTTTTGTTCCTTCGGGATCTGTGGCAATGTCTTTTGTTCCTTCGGGATCTGTGGCAATGTCTTTTGTTCCTTCGGGATCTGTGGCAATGTCTTTTGTTCCTTCGGGATCTGTGGCAATGTCTTTTGTTCCTTCGGGATCTGTGGCAATGTCTTTTGTTCCTTCGGGATCTGTGGCAATGTCTTTTGTTCCTTCGGGATCTGTGGCAATGTCTTTTGTTCCTTCGGGATCTGTGGCAATGTCTTTTGTTCCTTCGGGATCTGTGGCAATGTCTTTTGTTCCTTCGGGATCTGTGGCAATGTCTTTTGTTCCTTCGGGATCTGTGGCAATGTCTTTTGTTCCTTCGGGATCTGTGGCAATGTCTTTTGTTCCTTCGGGATCTGTGGCAATGTCTTTTGTTCCTTCGGGATCTGTGGCAATGTCTTTTGTTCCTTCGGGATCTGTGGCAATGTCTTTTGTTCCTTCGGGATCTGTGGCAATGTCTTTTGTTCCTTCGGGATCTGTGGCAATGTCTTTTGTTCCTTCGGGATCTGTGGCAATGTCTTTTGTTCCTTCGGGATCTGTGGCAATGTCTTTTGTTCCTTCGGGATCTGTGGCAATGTCTTTTGTTCCTTCGGGATCTGTGGCAATGTCTTTTGTTCCTTCGGGATCTGTGGCAATGTCTTTTGTTCCTTCGGGATCTGTGGCAATGTCTTTTGTTCCTTCGGGATCTGTGGCAATGTCTTTTGTTCCTTCGGGATCTGTGGCAATGTCTTTTGTTCCTTCGGGATCTGTGGCAATGTCTTTTGTTCCTTCGGGATCTGTGGCAATGTCTTTTGTTCCTTCGGGATCTGTGGCAATGTCTTTTGTTCCTTCGGGATCTGTGGCAATGTCTTTTGTTCCTTCGGGATCTGTGGCAATGTCTTTTGTTCCTTCGGGATCTGTGGCAATGTCTTTTGTTCCTTCGGGATCTGTGGCAATGTCTTTTGTTCCTTCGGGATCTGTGGCAATGTCTTTTGTTCCTTCGGGATCTGTGGCAATGTCTTTTGTTCCTTCGGGATCTGTGGCAATGTCTTTTGTTCCTTCGGGATCTGTGGCAATGTCTTTTGTTCCTTCGGGATCTGTGGCAATGTCTTTTGTTCCTTCGGGATCTGTGGCAATGTCTTTTGTTCCTTCGGGATCTGTGGCAATGTCTTTCGTTCCTTCGGGATCTGTAGCAATGTCTTTCGTTCCTTCGGGATCTGTAGCAATGTCTTTTGTTCCTTCGGGATCTGTGGCAATGTCTTTTGTTCCTTCGGGATCTGTGGTAATGTCTTTTGTTCCTTCGGGATCTGAAGAAATTACCTTTTCTTCAGCGTCTGAAGCTACAGTTTCTTCCCTTTTATGATTTAATGCAAAGCACCACGAAAACATTTTTTTCGCAGGTTCCCAATTGAATAACTTATCTGGAAATTCATCATCCGTACAATTTTCAATACCATTGAAATTTGATTTGAAAGTTGGAAAAACTTCAATTTTATTGTGGCCTAGCCATTTTTTGTATTCTTTTCTTTTTTCTTCAGGAAGACACCACTGTATTAATTTGTCTGCAAGTTCAGGAGTGTCATCTTTTAGCACATATTTTGTGCACATACATATAGATCCCACTTGATACATCAATATATCCTTAAAGCTCACGCGCACATCTGGTGGCAGACACCAACTAACAAAGTTATCTGCTGTCTCCGTGTTTGCAATACAAAACTCTCTGGTTTCTTTTTGTCCAATTTCACCCAAAATAAGTCTATGCTTGAAGCATAACACTTCTTCTGCGGGTATACACCAACGAACAAATTGATCTGCTAAGTCTGGATCTGATTTCCAAAGAGCAATGCACGTTTTTACTCCAGCCTTACACGAAATAAGTATATTCTTAATAGCTAGCATATCCTCGTGGCTCAATTCATATTCACTCCACTTCAAGCTTTCTTCGGCTTCATTCCACTTTTTGTTTCTTACAAATTCCAAGCATTCCTTCTTTGACTTTAAAAGAATTACTTTCAGTTTGTAAACTCGCACTTTCTCGGGAGTAATGAAACAAGAAGAAACTAGTTCGTCAAATAAATCCACTCTTTTACTATCTAAAAGCATAATAGCAAACTTAAACCCACTATCAGATATCATGTAAGGAAATCCTTCATTTTCTGTAGAAGATTCTATAATTGCTTTTATGTTTCTCCTGTCCCTTTCTGAGAACGATTTTAGGTTATACAATGATTTAAATAGTTCAAGAATGTTATTTGCATAGTCTTGAAATAAACGCATTTTAGCATCCTTTGGGCTGTCTATCCAGATATCCATCAGGAATTTTCTATAATCGTAGAACTTTTCTTCACCATACCAAAAGTGACCACGCCCAGGTTCGATCCTCTTGATTATATTTAAGAGAAGCAAACTAAAAACACTCAACGATAATCGAGGCCAAGATGTTTTCCAGAACTCCAGAAACATTTCTTGGTAAGGCCAGCACAAAAAGCCTTCAAAAACTTTGACGTAAACTAGATGTTTTATTCTCCTATCGGACAGGATGAATTTGACACTAAAAACCTGTCTCCAGAAATCTAGTTTTTGTGATTGAGACATAGCTGAAATGAGCGAATAAAATATGTCAGCGAAAAAATTATCTGGTACCCAAGATTCTTCAGCACAGTTATAGGTTTTATCTCTGAAAACAATCCAGTCGTCGACTATGTTCATATGTTCATTGGATCTTATTTCTCTCTGTACTCTGTGTCTGAATATGCTAACAGCAATATCCGTTAGACAACTCTGTCTTGATCTTGTCCTTTCCATGCAGTAATTTACAGCTAATTGGGATCCACTAGTTATAGCAGTTTTTAATCTGAACTGATCGAGTATGTCATCTCCTTTTAATTTATCCAATTCTCCCATAGCATGATATGACCAAAATTTAATTATATCGGGTTGTTTTACAAGTTCAGGCTCATTTGCATTATAAACCAATTCTTTGTCTTGTGTCGACAAATTATTGAACAATCCTGGAATGGCCATCCACTGACAGTAGAAACTAGCCAGCTGAAACCTCTGTAAATTAGTAGGCGTTTTTTCTGACATTTTTGTTTCCACTCTTCGAGAATCGATTATACCTTCACGAGTAAACAAAGCAGAGTCTAAAAATTCAACGCAAAAGTCTCTTGAGAAACCAAAAGTTCCCATATAAAATTCAATCCATGTTAGCATCTTGAAAGCAATGGTAAACACCGCACCAATCACTGCTTCTTGCTCACTCATCTCTAAATTAGGATAATCTTCTAACAAACTTCCTGTTACGGTTTCGATTTTTTCATCCCAACTCCTTTTGCGATCCTCCGGTGTGTCTTGATGCGAATAAATCCCAGAAAAAACTTCCAGTTTGAAAATATCTTTGTTGCATATTTCAATTGCAATTGCTACAGGATCAAAAGTGTTCGGAGAGGACATGTTGCTAATAGATCTTAAATTGTACTTATGAAACTCTGCTTATATTTCTTCCAGCTGTGGTAGCATTTATTAGTATCTTGTCCCTTAAATTGCAAAAAAAAGTGTTCCAAGATGATTTGTAGTGTATATTAAGCAATGGGAATCCTAGAAATTATAAAAATGTATAAGAATACCGAAAATTCAAAATTTTAAAATAGTTCAATTTTGGTCAAAAACTTATTTAAGAAATGCGTAAATTTTATTTTGAAGGAGTTTTCCATATTACGTAATTTCTATTTTAACATACAACAGGGCTTTATCAATTGTTCACGAGCTCTCGCCAACCGCCGAAGTTACATTGCGACTTTATTAAGATCATTTCACTATTCCAATTTTTACTAAACAGAGACGAAGAAAATTTTCTGTTGCATTGTGGATAATTTTATTGTCTTACAAAATTTTTTAGTTACTAAACTATGGCTTTATTTAGACACGGTTGAAAAATATGGATCATTAAAAGCAATAAAAGTATGAAGAAGAGTGTTATAAATGTGACATATTTAACTTTACATAAGAGCAGGGGTCTGCCTAGGCTTTTCTGAAAGGTACCTTTTGAGAAAATTTAGACACAATGTGAAATATTAAAAAATCAACACAAAATATGGTTAAAATATGAATTTATCGTTTCTTAAGGGACACAAAAATAAAATTTTAAGGAAAAGTATTTTGTGAAACTACCGTTTTTCCTAAAGTTGAATTTGTGAAGGTACCGCTAAACGGTAGTCAATTCTGCCTGGATAGACCCCTGAAGAGGTACCAGAAAGTAATGTTTTTTGACATTCAACTCAAACAAATAATTTTAACAAGTAATTTTTTATAAATTATGAATTCCTTCTGAACTCATTATCATTATGTTGAAAACGAATTATGAATTTGTTTTCAACAATTTTTTTGTGATGTAGTTTTCAAATTTTTAATGTCAAATCAGTAAATATGATTTTATTTTTTAGGTAGTTAGGTAGATACTTTATTTACGTCATACTTGAGCTGCACAATGGGCTATTGGCGACGGTGAGGATGACCCGAAGACATGACATCGCAATTTTGATCCTCTGCAGAGGGGATGGGTCCGCTGCTTTGGTAGCCCGGCGACCTGCGCGAAGTCGAGCACTTTACGGTAGAACAGTTTAACGAGGTCCGATGCCGCCCTCCCTCGGTCCCTACACAGACTGATCAAAGTGATCACCCACCCGCTTACTGACCGCAGCCAGTGATGCTGGACTCCGAAGTTCTACTGGGAACCGTGTCTTTATGATCAGTCCACTGCGGGAGAGTGTTTTTTAACCAAGTATTTAGAGATGGCATTTAGGATTTTGCACAACTTTTCAAATTTATGACGCAGAAGATGTGGTAATCGGAATAAATCGAAATTTTATGGCATTTTGTCAAGTAAGTATGAAGTCCAAGATTATTTTTTGTTTTCCTAAATTATCTCCTACGCAGTGTGGTCATGCCTTACGGTGTTGCAGAAAACGCCTTTGCCGTTGACAGTCACTGGATACAAAGGCTAAATTATCAGAACGAAGCTTAACTTAAGGTGTAATTAGGTGTCGTTTATAATCCGTGTAAAAAATAATTTTTATATCTATATAATCTACTTACGTTAAGAAAATTGAATTGTAAGATATATAGATTTGTATACTTGAAATAAATCCAAAAATCCAAACAAATTACAAAATCCAAAATATGAAAGATATATCAGTTGACTATTTATACTCTGTTTTAATTAACATGCCTTTATACTCTGAATAAACATGACATTTATTTGAATTCTTTTACTTAATAATTAGAATTAGTTAGCATATTTGTGGTCAACCCTTTAAACTTTTATGTCACGAAAACATTATTATTAGAAGAAAAAGAAAGAATTATAAGTTTTTACTATTGGCTAACTGTACACGACAAGAGCTAAGAGCCCAAAAAACATCAATTTACGGTGCNGCACTTTACGGTAGGACAGTTTAACGAGGTCCGATGCCGCCCACCCTCGGTCTCTACGCAGACTGATCAAAGTGATCACCCACCCGCTTACTGACCGCAGCCAGTGATGCTGGACTTCGGTGTTCTACTGGGAACCGTGTCTTTATGATCTATCCACTGCGGGAGATTTTGTTTTTAACAGAGTATTTAGATTTGGCATTATGGATTTTGGACAACTTCTCAAATTTATGACGCAGAAGATGTAGTAATCGGAATAAATCGAAATTTTATGGCATTTTGTCAAGTAAGTATGATGTCCAAGATTATTTTTTGTTTTACTGAATTTTCTCTTACGCAGGATGGTCATGCCTTACGGTGTTGCAGTAAAACGCCTCTGCCGTTGACAATCACTGGATACAAAGGTTAAATTGTCAGAACGAAGAACTTTAAACCTAGTCTAAACAACGAAGTTAAACCTAGCTGCATTGCGAAACGAAGTTTAAAGAAACACCCGCAGCCTGGTCAAAGTTAAACCAACAAAAGATTTATTTACTCGATCCAAGTGTTTAGACCATGGGTTTCCAACTAACATGAGGCCGGGGGCCATAATTAAAAACACAAATCCAATGGCGGGCCGCAACTTTATCAAAATTTTATGTGCGACTTATGTTTGAAGGAACATTTAAATATTACTGTCAGATTTTTACCAAGTCGTACAAAACAAAAGTATTGAATTGTAAATTAAAATAAGAAGTAGATTTTTAAAAATATTTAATTGCATATTAAAAAATTCTGGCTACAATAACTTTAATGTGCACCTATTTGTTAAACAATTAATGAGCAACAGATATCTAATTGTTAAGATATAAAACTTTAAAAAGGTTTGTATTAAAACTTTCATAATAGCACACAAAATGTTAAATGACAAAATTGCGGTTTGTTTGCTGCAACCACCAGAAAATAGATATTTACATTTTGAATTTAAAATTTACAAATGTGTGTGCAAATATTTTCGTCCAAAGTGAGTGGTTTCAAAAAGTTAAATTGGAGAATTTCTTCGAGAAAATTTCTGATACTCACATTCTAAATTATAATCACAAAATACAAAAAATGAAATAAAAAGAGCAACACACACGATTAATTTTGCATTTGAATTAATATTTTCTTGGGTGCAATATCTGAGAAATAAATTTTTTTGCGCCGTTGGTATGATAAATTTCACAGAAATGAAGAAATTAGGTTTTTATTAATGAGAAAAGTATTTTAAACCCATATAGATTTTTACAAAAATCGTCCGCAGAAAAATTACAACTAATATATTTCAGTTCGCGGGCCACAAAAAAAGGCTTCGAGGGCCGGATGCGGCCCCCTGGCCGTCATTTGGAAACCACTGGTTTAGACTGAAGGTTGATACTTACATTGTGTCCAGTTATTAACACTTAAAAGCAACGAACGACTTTTGGAATCTTATGTCTGATTCTGCAGTTCTCCGTGGAAATCTAGGAGAAAAACTGCCTTTTGCGTAGTGGATTATTACAGATTAAACAGTACTTTTTATAATACGCAAATGATAAAAGTCACTTAATCAGACAGAAAAAAAAACGCATCTATCCTGAATAAATATTTTTTTTTCTCGACGGATTTGAATTTTTGACCATCAAAGTAGCCGCAGTCTGGAAAATATGCCCACAATAATTTACTCAAAGGAACGATCAGAAATTCGGTCCCCTTAATGATAATTTCATTTTTTGCGTAATTCAGCATAGTTTGGAGACTTTTTAAATTAATCAAAATGTATTTTTGCACGCAATAAAATTCTTTTATCCTAAGGCAGTGGGAGGCAAAGTGCGGCTCCAGAGCCGCATGTGGCTCTTTGGCTCCTTAAGTGTGGCTCTGACACAAATATCCACGGAAGGCGCAATAATATTTTCATTTTAAAAAAAATTGGTAAGAAAAAAATTTACATCTTATTTTGATAAATTAAAATCCTCTTAATGCTTTGATAACCGAGTTGAAATTTTCTCCTCTTGAAATTGACTTTGGTGGCTTTGAAATACAATTGCTGGATTTAAAAAACAAGGAGATATGGCGCTCTAAATTCGAACTTTGTGTTGAATTGGAAATATTGGAGAAGAAAAAAGATGATCTTAGTACGCAACACAAGTGGTCTGCTTTGAATGACCTGGAGAAGGAAGACATGATCAATTTCAACGCTTGGAATAGTATTCCTGACTCTTACTATCAGCTGAAAAAGCTCGCGTTTGCTGTTCTTTCCCTTTTCGGTTCTACATATATATGCGAACAATCTTTTTCAAGCATGAACATTATCAAGAGTAAACTGAGAAGTCGTCTTATTGATGAGAACTTGGAATCATGTATAACATACAAACCTGACTTACTCAAACTTTCCAAGGAGAAGCAAGCACATTGTTCGCGTTAATAAATATTTATTAAGTATGAAATTTAGTTTTATTTAGTGTACTACTCATTCAGTGTAATAAAAGTTTACTAAACAAACAGATTTGGCTTCCAATTTTTTTAAAAATTGTTGTAATGTTCATATTTGGCTCTTTGGCTAACAAGTTTGCCGACCACTGTCCTAAGGTGTAATTAGGTGTCGTTTATCCTCCGTGTAAAAAATAATTTTTATATCTATATAATCTACTTACGCTAAGAAAATTGAATTGTAAGGTATATAGATTTGTATACTTGAAATAAATCCAAAAATCCAAACAAATTACAATTATTTGAATTCTGTTACTTAATAATTAGAATTAGTTAGTTAGCATATTTGTGGTCAACCCTTTAAACTTTAATGTCACGAAAACATTATTATTAGAAGAAAAAGAAAGAATTATAAGTTTTTACTATTGGCTAACTGTACACGACAAGAGCTAAGAGCCCAAAAAACATCGCTTTACGGTGCCCAATTATCAGTTGATTTAACTTATATAAACGTATGAATTTCGGAAACTCATTCAATACATTTTACACGCTTAAAGCTTACTAAAAATTTTAAAAAGCTTTTTTTTCCTGTAAGTAAAAATTACATGACAAACTCTCGTTACTATTTATAAGCAGAAAATACTCATACAAAATAAATTTAAGATTTTTTTCCTTAATTTTAAGATTACTAGGAGACTCTGCTCACTAGCCTCCGTAATTACTTATCATTCACCTTTACTATTTTTTAAATTATAAGTCTACATTTAACAATTTCTTTCGAGTTTACTTGCAATTATTCACTCAGAATTTGTAAATTCGTTTATTTATACACAAATTTAAGTCTATGCTCAATTCTTAATCGATAAAAAATTTGGAAAATTCCATCCAGCTTCCCACCAAAACGAAGATCTTAAAATCAAATTAATTGTAGGTAATAAGTTAGATTAATAACTCAATCTAAAATATTTTAGCAGAACATTACTGGAAAAAAAATGAGTTGAGAAAAGGTTAAAGCAGAATAAAATTTTCTCGAAAATAATGAAGTAGGAGAAATTGGAGTAAAACAAACAAAGTAAACGATTTAGAAAAGTTTTATAAGACCATTTCGCTTAATCAACCTATTCTCTTGTTTTCCGAAACTGTTTATCATCAACTTATCATAAGCTGTTACAAGTTGCATTGCAGAAAGAATTTTTAAAAAAATTAAATTTGCAAAGCGTCATGTAACATTAAACTAAAGCGTCAAGCCTAAGAATTTTTTTTTTCACAATGTTTTTACTATTTAAAATGGCACCCCTACAAAGTAGTACTAATAGGGAAATAGTTGAAAGAAATGCAATGTGCTCAGGTATAGTTAAGAAAAAGATTTTATCGAAGATAAAGTAGATGAAATTGGTGCAAAACAGAGAAATCTTAATATTAATTTAAGTAAAATTTAAAATTTAAAATTTGAACCTCATTTTGATCGGATTTGTTTGAATTTCGGAAGGGGTCAATTTTTATTTTGTTTTTAATTTGCTATGTTCAAGTTTTTATGTTTGTTATAATTTTTGCTATTTATCTGTAAAAAAAATGTGCTTTTATATTTTTAAAATTATATCATTTAATTTATTTTGGAAGTGTTTATTTGAGATTGTCCAATTTACGTGCGACTATATTGATGTACCATGAACTACCATTCTGTTTTTCCAAATTCTAGAGCTGTATTGAGTTTTTTTTTCGCACATCGCTTCGGAATGAGGCGAATTGAAGCTTCTAATTTATACAGCACATACTGGTTTAACTGATTTTTTGTCGAAATGTTTATTGCTGCGTTTCCCATAATAATTTAGTTGGCATATTTTTAACGTAGTTGTAGAAAGTTGCATTGCAGTTTTTTTAAAAGATTGAAACTTTCCTTGACACCTTTCTATATGATAAAAAGATATGTATTCAAAATTGCTCTTAATGGCAAAAGAGCCTGGATCAGCAACTGATCAACTGTTCGAAACGTAAAAAGATTTAAAGAGTAAAAACATAGCTGAATTACTTGATAATTTTAATAACATGGTAATTTTAGTCACATTATAATTTAAGTATTGCAAATAACTAAGTAAAAAATATTGGACTTGAAATTAAAGAATTTAAAATATAAAAGTTATGTAATTCTTATCTTTCATCAGATATGAGGTATTCCATGAAAATTGTGTCACAAAAGTTTATAAAACACTTTTAGAACAACCTCAATGATAATTCAAAATATTTTTGTCATTTAGCACATTTTTAGTTAAAATCGAAAAATATTCAAAGAAATGGGTAATTTAAAGTAATGTACAATACAAAAATCTTTGGTTTCACTTAATTTGGTTCATATATTTAACTACACATGATTTTATTTTCAATAGTTTGATAAAGAGCGAATAAATTTACATTAATTAGATTAGATCTTTTAACTTTATTATAAAAAGAAATCTAATATAATTTTATCACCAAACATTTTTTTTATATAATTTCACTCGTGCTATTAGAATAAATAGAAATGAAATTTCAAAGAATACTGTAATCATAATGAAAATTTTGGATGATGAGAAAAAATACTCATTTTTGATTTCATCAATAAAGACTAAATATCAAAGAGAGAGACTAAATATCAAAGAGGCTCAAAAGTTAAATGCAAAAAACTTAAAATTTACGTTTTTTTATTAAACCAAGTCTTTTAATTATAGTATAATTAAGAAGCTTGATTTCAATAAAAGGATATTAATTCCTGCTTTAAAAATATTAAATCAAAGTCAAGCTTTAATTTAAAAATAAACTTCATTAAAATTTCATGGAAAAAAAAGAAATAGAAAATGCTATTACCTTGAGAAAACTTTACATTCGAAACAGTGACAACAGTCTCCTTCGTAATACACGTATAGAGAAAAATTTTATCTTTAAGATTTTAATGTCCAAGAGTTGAATTGTCTTATTATAAATCCATCTTTTAATGGGGCCTTCTTTGATCGAGGAGAACAGTTCAACCGTAAAACGCTCTGAAACGGCTAGAGTCATGCGTCAACCCAGGCTATATGTTTAATTTTTTCTTTTATATATTTATTTATTAAATTTCATACATATGCAGGCTTGTTCACTCAATTCAAAGACCTCTTACCGAATTGAACAACAGATAACTAAAATTAGAGAAAGACTGTCTAACGATATATCCAGAGGTTACGATTGGATTCGTACCTGTTACTTTCGTGCTTTGTCGGAAAGACAATCCATGGAGGCCTCTTATTTTCTACTTGAGAAGTTATACTGTAATTTGTGATATCGGTTCTTCCATGTGGAAACAGCTTATTCGCTGTTCTTCGTATTTATTTATTGTTATACTTAAACACGCACACTTTTGTGTGCTACTAATAAAGACATCGTATAAGCCCTTGTACAATTAAAGAATAGACAGCACAAATTAGAGAAGGACATCACAAAGATATATTCAAGGTAACAGCGGGAGTCGAACCCACCATCTAAATGTTACAGAGTATTTGACCAGAGATTGCTCGCCCAGGGAGGCCCCCTGTTTTTTGAATTGAACATAGAAGTCCACGGGTCTCCGTAGGATTGACTAAATGTCCCGCAGTAGACTGATCGTTAAGACACGGTTTCCAGCAGATCACCGAAGTCAAGCATCACTGACTGCGATCAGTGGGCGGGTGGGTGACCACTTGGATCAGTCTGCGTAGGGACCGAGGGTGTGCGGTATTGGTCCTCGTTAAATTGTTCTGCCGTAAAGTGCTCGGCAGGTCGTCGGGCTACCGAAGCGGAGGTGCCATCTCCTCTGCAGAGGATCAAAATTGTGATGGCATGTCTTCAGATCATCCTCAGGGATGTTTCCCAGACCGTCGCCAATAGCCCATTGTGCAGCTCTAGTGCGACGTAAAT